CAGTCTGTGGTATCATTTTTTCATTCTCTTTAAATGTCTCTCATAGGGTCCAGAGTGATAATACTGTGGCTAGGATGCTTGCCATGCATGCGACTGACCCGGGTTCAATCCTTGTGTCCCATATGGTCCCTGAGCATCACTGGATGTGGTCCAAAAACCAAAGAAATCTTTTTAAGTAAAATTTTTTTAAAAATTTAAATTCCTTTTGCTCCTTTATGTCGCTTTTTTAAATTTTTTTATTTTATAAGGTAATTCACAATATTTGGTTACATTTAATATTCAAACACCAATCCCACCATTATTACACCTTCCCACCACTATATTTCAGGTGTTTCCATCCCAAACCCCAGTCCCTGTCCCAATGCAAAACCGAAATAATATATTTTGTATTGTTTGTTATCAGAAGCGCTGAAAATGCTACAAAAAAATTATCCTTAGAGGAAAGAAAATGAAGATTGTTCTATTTCAACAGAGGCCATTAAGATCTTCTATAAGAGATCACTAATATCTTGTTAAAGGTTGAGCCTTGTGTGCTTATATATATATATATATAATATATGTATATATATATATTTGTTTACCCCGAAGATGGGGCTGGAGCGACAGCATAGTTGGTAGGGCGTTTGCCTTGCATGCAGCCAACCCAGGTTCAATTCCTCCGCCCTTCTCGGAGAGCCCAGCAAGCTACCGAGATATCTCGCCCACATGGCAAAGCCTGGCAAGCTACCCGTGACATATTCAATATGCCAAAAACAGTAACAACAAGTCTCATGATGGAGACATTACTGGTGCCTGTTCAAGCGAATAGATGAACAATGGAAGGACAGTACTACAGTGCAGTGCTACTCCTAAGATTGATTGCCTACTACATTGAAGCTCATCAAATGTAGTGAATGTCGCCTTTCTTCAAAGCGTCTCCACCCAGTTCTAAAGTGGTGGATTTTTTCATCCCACCAAGCAAGGCTTGGACACCTGCCATTCAACTTGATTCCAACCCTAGTTGGAGAGTCCGCTCCTCCCATTCAGACTGTTCCCTGTTCTTCTGCTCCCACCTGGCCTGTCAGAGCATCCCACCCTCCCTTCCTTGGGATCTGTTAATTTGCTCATGTGATTCACAGAATTCAGAAAACCAACGGAAAAACCAATAGAAAACCAATTGATTGATTAGATTGCCAATTTACTTAGAAAGGCAATTAAAGGGTAGCAGCCAACAGTCTCATCAGGAGAGAAGTGGGGTGAGATTTTTAACTAAGATATTTCTACCTACCCCCTTGGGTTTTAGGCCCTGCACGCTGCATAGCATTATGGTTCACCCACCAGGAAGAGCTCCATTCCACCCCCCATCCTCTGGAAGTTTCCATTACTTTGAGCGTGGCTGAGTTGACCTCCAGCTCCTCTCTCTAACCCCCAAATTGGGTGGGACTGAAAGTTCTAATCCAGCTCGGTTCCCCCAACAACCAGCACCCACCTTCACCACCATCTTTAAAGAGTTTCCAAAAATCTCCTTATTAACTGAGTTGAAGTTGAAAGGGCTTGTCAGGAATAACAAACCATTGCTTTCACCTCGATGGCTCTGAAGCAGTCCCTGGGATTGAGGTCAGAATACAGAGTTGTAAAACAAAGCTGCTGCACTGTTCTTACTGCTTCAGAAACTCCTAAGAATTCTCATAGCTGTGAATACAAGACCAAAATGAATATCTCCAGATCCTAGCCCCTTTTGCCAAAGATTAGTTGACTAATTTGTATATGTTTCTGAGCTTTCTGATCTATCCTGATGATCTGTTTTTGTTTTGTTTTGCTTTGTTTTTTGTTTTGTTTTGTTTTTTGCTTTTTGGGTCACACCGGCAATACACAAGGGTTACTCCTGACTTTGCACTCAGTAATCACCACTCCTGGTGGTGATCAGGGGACCATATAGGATGCCGGGTATTGAACCCAGGTCAGCCTCATGCAAGGCAAATGCCCTCCCCGCCATGCTATTGCTCCAGCCCCTGTCCTGTTGATATGGATCAGGTAGCTCTGCCCTTATCTTGGTATAGAGAAGCAAAATGGAATAGACAGTATCAAAGGATACTGAAGCTCTTGGCCCTGGGTTAGGGCAACACATCATCAGGCTGAGAATCAGCTTGTGGTGGTTCCCAGGACCTTAAGCAGTGATGGGGTGGCCAAAACAAGTAAACAAATAAGATAATGTTCAGTATTTCCCCATGTGAGTTGCTCACTTCCTAAGAGTTATTTAGCAGTACAATACTTGATTTCCAAATATCTGTGAATTTTCAAAAAGTATCTTACTGATTTTTTAATTATTTTTAATTTTTATTAGTGAAACCCCATGAGGTACAGTCGTAGACTTACAGATTTTTGTGCTTGGGTTTCAATTATACAATGTTCGAGTACCCATCCCTCCACCAATGCCCATTTTCCACCACCACTGATCCCAGTATCCCTCCCACCCCACTTCCCCCCCATCCCACCCTGCCTCTGTGGCAGGGCATTCCCTTTTGTTCTCTCTCTCTCCTTTTGGGTGCTGTGGTTTGCAAAAGAGGCATTTTTTAATTATTACCATGAGAGGATATACTTTGTTTGATTTCCACTCTTTTCATCTTTGTGAGATTTGGTTTTGGCCCAGAATATGGTCTTTCTTCGTAAATATCCCATTTGTACTTAAATAGAGAGTCTTCTAATGCTATTACAAGATGGGAAAATGGTTGGTGTTGTTTAGATCTTCTGTATCTTAAGTTGCTGTTTCTACGGTGTATTGTAATTGTGGATTTGTCTGTACTTGGAGTTCGGTAAGTTTTCTTGTTTTGCTTTTATTGAGGTATCATGACTAACGGTAGTTTGAAATTCTTGTTTTATACATCCAGGGCCACTGCACAAATCCCTCCCCCAGTTTGAAGCCCCCTCCTTGGGCACTGCCACACCTCCCCTTCCCCACCCACCCCCTGCCTCCTGCCTCCACTAGCCTCCATGTTCCCAGATCTGTTAATAACATCTCAGGATTCATTTCCATCAAGGATTGTTTAATCCATCTCTTTATTCCTTTATATAAAGGAATATGAATGAGATATCTGGCATTTTTCTTTTTTCTTTTCTTCATGGTTTGGTTTTTATTTTTGTTTTGAGGGGGAGGGCATACCCTCGATGCTCAGGGGTTACTTCTGCCTCTGCACTTATGAATTATACCCAGAAGTGCTCGGGGGACCCTATGGAATACCAGGATCAAACCCAGGTCAGCCACATGCAAGGCAAGCACCTTACCCACTATACTATTGCTCCAGACCCACTTTTTTCTTCCTGATTCACTTGACTTAGCGTGACTTCCTCCAGTTCACTAATATTTTCTGCTTCATTGTCTAATCCTGATGATTAATTTCATAAAAAATGTCTCTTTTTTTTTCACAATAACAAAGTTGTTCATATGATGCTCCATCACCCAACCCTTCACCAGTGTATATTTCCCACCGTCAATGTCCCCAGTTTCCCTCCCATCACAAGCCCCCTAAGCCTATCTAAGTGTTGTTTGTATTTCAGGTTTTTTTTTATTTGTAAAGTTTTTTTAAGTCCTTGTCTATATTTTTCCAAATTCCAGGAGATACGGGATGTAGTTACAACATTTACTTTAACACTCTCATCTACAAATCCTGTCATTTGATTTCTAGATCTATTTCTGTTCATTTACTTCTTTTTCTCCTCATTAGGAGTCATATTTTCCTGTTTCTTTGGGTGCCTAGTAGTTTGTTGTTGTTATTGTTTTAAATAAGGGCCAGCCTAGCAGAGCTTGCTATAGGGGACAGTTCTAGAAATGATGAATCCCACAGTGATGACTTGGTTCTCAAACCCAGTGATGCTTAGTCTCACCCAGGATCAGGGATCAAACTCAGGGCCTTGAGTATGTCAAGGATGAACTCTTCCACTTGAGCTCTCTCCAGCCCCATCATCATTTCCTCTTAGATATCAGATATCTTAATTTCCCATTGGTAGATGCTGGATAAAGAGAGAGTCCTTCGAATATTCTTGCAATTCCTATACCATCTTACACATGCACAGAGGCACAAAGGAATTAGAATAGTAACACAGATAGACAGAGAATTGGAAAAAGATAAAGCAAACAGCATATGCAAGGCCCTGGGTAATGAGAGCTTATGGTACTTATGTTCGGGGGAGCCTAAAACTTCTGTCAGTGTTGTCAAGGATGTGTAGCTGGGAGAGTAAGTCCCATGTCAGATCAGAAAGGGCTTTGAAAGGAATAAAACTTAAAATTTTTTGAAAAAAAATTTAATTTTTGGGTCACACCCGGCAATGCACAGGGGTTACTCCTGGCTCTGCACTCAGGAATTACTCCTGGCGGTGCTCGGAGGACCATATGGGATGCTGGGAATAGAACCTGGGTTGGCCGTGTGCAAGGCAAATGCCCTACCGGCTGTGGTATTGCTCCAGCCCCCTGAAAAAAAGTATTTAGGGGGCCAGAGAGCTAGTGCAGGAAGTTAAGGCACTTTTCCTTGCATGTGATCAATCTGGTTCGGTTCCCAGAACTACATGATTCCCAGAGCACCATCAGGGCTCACTGCTGAGTACAGAGCTGGAGATAGCTCCTGGACACTGCTGGATGTGGCCCCAAATTTTCGTCCCCAAAACCCTCCCCTGCAAAAAAATTTATATATATTATATATACATAATATATATGTATATATATAATTACATATATAATAGATTATGAGGTACCCAACCAGTTTGTATTCTTATTCTTTCAAAGGGGCTGGAGAGATAGTATAGTGGATAGTGTACTTACCCTATACCTGTCTGTGTACATCTGGTCCCCCCACCAAGCCTGCCAGGAATAATCCCTGAGCACAGAGCCAGGAGTAAGCCCTGAGCACAGCCAGGTGTGAAACACCCCCTGCCCCCCCCAAAAATATATATATTCTTACAATAGACTAACAGAGGAGAAAAGCGGCCATTTCTAAGTGCTTGCTCCTCACCTTTGATTCGGGTTGTAGGTTGTGGCTCTGTGTTGAACACAATTGGTGATGTTGAAATGGATGCGAGCATCATGGACGGGAAGGATCTGTCGGCAGGAGCCGTGTCCGCTGTCCGCTGCATTGCAAACCCCATCAAGCTGGCCCGGCTGGTGATGGAGAAGGTAAGAGTCATGGAAGCACACCTGTCCTGAAGAATTGTCACCACCCTGCCCTGGTGACGAAATAAAGGGGATCTGACTGTCGGGAAACACTTGAGATCATTGTTCTAAAATCACGCAACAGAATAGAAGTGTTATTTTTCTCAAATTGGGATTTTTACTCTCCTGATGACTTGCAAAGGACTGAGAGATAGTACAGGAGTTAAGACACTGACCTTGAAGGTGACCAACTCGAGTACCCTCGAGTACCCATCCCCAGCACCTCATGTAGTCCCCAAGCACAGAGCCAGGAGTAGCCCTGAGCTTGTACCCGACCTAGGTTCAGTCTCTGGCACTGTATATGGCCCCCTAAATCCCAACCAGGAGTGATCCCTGAGCACAGAGCTAGGGATAATCCCTGAGCATCACTGGGTATGGCCCCAAAGCAAAAACAAAACAGTTTCATGTTTTTAGGGCCAGAGAGAATAGCAGGTAAGATTACTTGCTTTGCATATGATCAACCCAGACTTGGTCTTCAGCACCATTAATGGTCCCCTAAGCACTCTCAGGAATGAGCCTGAGCATAGAGCCAGGAGTAATCCCTGAGCACTGCAGAGGATGGCCAAAAACAACAACAGAAAAAGATTTTCAATTTTAAAAAAATTAACCATGTTTGCAGCTAGAGAGATCGAACATTCTGTCAATCGGGTGCTTGCCTTGAAATCAGCCAACCCAGGTTTAATCCCTGGCACCTCCTAAGGTTTCCTAAAAACCACCAAGGGTGATCCCTGAGCACAGAGCTAGGAATAAGCCCTGAGTACCACTGAGTGCGGCCAAAAAGCAAAATTAAAAATATATATATATATATATATACATATATATATATATATCATAGAATGACAGCACTAATTTGTGGGATATTTAAAAACGTAGTATGAAACTAATATCCGGGAACAGAAAAATCAGAGGCAGGGAGAACTGGTCCCGGGTTGGAAGCTTGCAACAGTATGTGGGGGGCAAAGGACAATTAGGCCAGAGAAGGGACCACTATGACAACAAAAGGTGGAAATGATAATGATCACTCTGAACAAGAACTGAGTGCTGAAAGGAGGTAAGGGAATATACATGGTAACCTTCTGGTATCTGTACTATAAATCATAATGCTCAAAAGGAGAGAGAGAGAGAGAGAGAGAGAGAGAGAGAGAGAGAGAGAGTCTGCCATGCAAGCAAGCATAGGGAGACTGGTGGCACCGGTAGTGGGAAATGTACACTGGAAAAGTGACAGTTGTTGGAACTGTATGGCCAAAACCCAATCATGAACAACTTTGTGACTGTGTATGTCATGGTGCTTCAATTAAAAAATAAGAAAATGAGCACCAAGTAAAGGGTGTTGGGAGGATCCTCCCAGGAGGGGAGAAGCATGCTGAAAGTAGACTGTAGACCAAACATGATTGCCACTCAGTGCCTCTTTTGCAAACCACAGCACCCAAAAGGAGAGAGAGAACAAAAGGGAATGCCCTGCCACAGAGGCAGGGTGGGATGGGGGGATGGAGGGTGGGAGGGATACTGGGACCCGTGCTGGTGGGAAATGGGCACTGGTGGAGGGATGGGTGTTTGATCATTGTATAATTGAAACCCAAGCACAAAAATTTGTAAATCTACAACTGTACCTCATGGTGTTTCACTAACAAAACTTTTTTTAAAAAATGTAAATGATGAAGAATGGGCACTGGTGGAGGGATGGGTACTGGATCATTGTATAACTGAAACCCAAGCACAAAAATTTGTAAGTCTACAACTGTACCTCATGGTGTTTCACTAATAAAAATTTAAATAAATAAATGAATGAATAAATAAAACCCAAGCTTGTTTCCTCTTTCCCCTGGACGCAGACATCTCATTGCTTTCTGACTGCCCATGGCGCAGCAAGATTTGCAGCCTCCATGGGGATTCCACAGGTTTCAAGAGAGCACCTGGTGACGGAGAGAAACTTAAGACACCTGGAAAAAGAGAAAAAAGGCCAACAGAAGACAGACTGCGAGAAGTAAGTCACCCGCGGCCCACATTTCCAGAAGATTCGGGTTGTGTCCTCTTCTCAAATAAGCTAGATAATTCTTGGTTGGTTCATTTCTGTGCAAAATAATTCACACTCTTTAATCAGAGAAAACAAAGCCCTGAGTCCTGCCAGGTGTGCACCCCCCCAAAAAAATAATTATAAAAATAATGCTCTATATGATTCTTAAAGGTACCCTCAGTTTTTGCTTCATGAATAGTATAGCTCACACCTGAGTTGGTATCTGTTCCTTCTCCAGCGTGATTTAATAGAATGCTTTGTGTAAACAAGAGTTCCTTCTCCAGCGTGATTTAATAGAATGCTTTGTGTAAACGTACTCTGGATGCTTCTCGAGGGGTTTGTGATGTTAATCGAAACAAGGTCTGAGATCTGGTGTTCCCTAGTTAGTCTACTTAAGCACTCTTGCATCAAGCAATCAGTCACCACTCTTACAGTTTGAATTAATCCTGGGTTCTGGGTTACGGTTCTCTTGTTAAAGATTGTGAAATCCCAAATAAAAGTCCCTGCGCTAAAGTAGAATTTGAAAACTACAATTTGAATGTGGTCTAGGAGTTTAGGAGAAATTGGAATTGGATTTGTACTGTTTCTCTGGACACGTGCTAGATCTCACTCAGGCGTCTTTTTCAAAATAGATGCACCCTGCATCTTCAATAAAGACTAATAGCGGGTCAGAGTGATAATACAGCAGGGAGGGCACTTGCCTTGCACACAGCTAAGCAGGGTTCCATCCCCAGCATCCCATATCATCCCCCCCAAGCCCCACCAGCACCAGGAGTGACTCCTGAGCGCAGAACTGGGAGTGACCTCTGAGCACTGCCAGGTGTGGCCCAAAAACAAAACAAAAATTCAAAAGACTCTGATAGAGAGGCCAGGCAGATGTATGAGGGGGGACATCCCTGGGGTTGCTGATATGTCCACAAACTTAAGAATCTGTTTCTGTGTTACTGGCCACATGTTGGTAAGCTGCTGAAAACCTTACCAAGCGTGCTGTGTGGTCTAGAAGCTAGTGTCACAAGAATGGGGCCAAGGACACTTTGAAACGGCTCATGGTTAATGTGAAACAGCCAGTTCATTACAGACATGTGGGCACCTCTTGTCACTTGACACAGTGGGTCCCATGACCCTCACCACTCTCATGACAACCACTCAGCTCCCAGGGAAGCGCTTCTCCACAGATCTTGCTTTGTGTGTCTCAGACACAAAGGCCACCTAAGTCCAAAGGCTTGTGGATTGGGCCACCACTGACACAAGATTCAGACACTGCTCTGGAACACGGGGAAGATTGAACAGCAAAAGGACTTAGGTAAGAGCTTGTCAAATTCTTCCACCAGTATGGGATCCGGGTCGCCGCTCATGTCCATTTTCTCACCTTTCTGTGGGTTTGAATTTGTGGCTCCAGAGGTAATTCCCGAATTAGTGCAAAAGTCACAAGACTCACACATGAAGGCCGATTCCTCTCACTGAGACAGCCCCTTTCGAAGAAGGCAAAATACACAAAGTAAGCCTAGGACATCCAAATGTCATTTCAACATGCATCCAAAATAAGAAATGAGATATTGTGGCCAGACAGAGCAGTAGTAGAGCGGGAAGGGCACTTGCTTTGCACATGGCCAATGACAGATGAATCCCCGGCACCTCATATGGTCCCACAAGCCCTGTAAGGAGCGATCCCTGGATGCAGAGTCAGGAGTAAGCCCTGAGCACCACCAGATGTGGCCCAAAAAACAAAACAAGGAAAATAAGAAGGAATGAAATATCTTTGTTCTTCCTTGATACAGAAATGTCTCTTCCACTTACATCCACATCTCACATGTCGGCAACCCATTTCCATGCTTAGTGGGCTCCGGTGCCCACAAGACTGGGCCACGTGAATCTAGAACCTCAGCAAAAAGCAGGTTTTTTGGTTTTGTTTTGTTTTAGGTTTTGTTCTTTAGTTAAGCTCCAGGTGGCATATTCGATATGTCAAAAACATAACAAGTCTCACAATGGAGGCGTTGCTGGTGCCGTACAAGCAAATTGATTAACAAGGGAGGACAGTGCCACAGTGCTACAGTGTTTTTTAGTTAAAATAAAATTTTTTTTTTGAGAAGGAGGAGGAGGGAGGGAGGGAATTTGGGCCACACTGTAGGGCTGGAGCTATTCCAGGTTCTGTGCTCAAAGGATTGTGCAGAACCAGAGAGTAAACCGGGGATGGGGGTGGGGGGAGGGAACCACGTGCAAGGCAAGTTCCTTAACCCCTGTACTGCAAAACCAACACTTTTTTCTCTATCCCTCACTTAATTTTTTTTAATTTGTGTTAGTGAAACACCATGAGGTACAGTTGTAGACTTACAAATTTTTGTGCTTGGGTTTCGATTATACAATGATCAAATACCCATCCCTCCACCAGTGCCCATTTTCCACCACCATGGATCCCAGTATCCCTCCCACCCCCCTCCCCCCCATCCCACCCTACCTCTGTAGCAGGGCATTCCCATTTGTTCTCTCTCCTTTTGGGTGTTGTGGTCTGCAAAAGAGGCATTGAGTGGCAATCATGTTCACAGTCCACTCTCAGCACGGATCTCCCATTCTGGGAGGATCCTCCCAACACCCTTTATTTGGTGCTCCCTTCTCTATCTGAGCTGCCCTTTCCCCTGGCATGCCCGGCTGGCCTCTAAGCCATGGAGTAATCCTCCTGGTACTGATCTCGGCTATTCTTGTGTATTAACCTCCTAATTTGTTACTTTATATCCCCCAGATGAATGCAATCTTTTTATGTCTATTCTTCTCTTTTTTGACTCATTTCACTTAGCATGATACTTTCCATGTAGTACCACTTGTATGTAAATTTCAAGACTTCATCTTTTCCAACAGCTACATAGTACTCCATTGTGTAGATGTACCAACATTTCTTTAACCAGTCATCTTTTCTTGGGCACTCAGTTTTTTTCCAGATTCTGGCTATTGTAAAGAGTGCTGCAATGAACAAACACCCTCACTTAACTTTTTTTTAATTTTTAATTGAATCACCATGAGATACACAGTTACAAAGTTGTTCCTGATTGGGTTTCAGTCATACAATGTTCCAACACCCGTCCCTTCACCAGTGTAGTTTCACACTACAAATGTCCCCAGTTTCCCTCCCACCATAACCCCCCACCCCAACACCCCAATCTGCTTCTATGGCAGACACGTTCTCTCTCTCTCTCTCTCTCTCTCTCTCTCTCTCCTTTAAAAAAAACCAATGCTTTTTTAAGTTGGAAAATGAATGGATACTAACTGAAAGAATTGTGAATGGTTTTATTTTTATTAAGGTACTACAAGACTTAAATGTTCAGGTCAGAGCAATAGTACAGCAGGTAAGGCACTTGCCTTGCATGCGGCTGACCTGGGTTCAATCCCCAGCATCCCATATGGTCCCCTGAGCACTGCCAGGAGTGGTTCCTGAGCACAAAAGACAGGCGTAATCCCCAAGCATTACTAGGTGTGGCCCCAAAACATGAAATAAATAAATAAAAAGATTTGAATGTTGGAACAAATATGCTGAAATTTCCAGGTGTGGGAACCAGGAAATAACTCCCGAATGGTAGACCTCAAGCCTGGTTTGTGTGAGACATGAGACATGCCCCAACATGGCACGTCAGGCCTATACCACTGAAGAGCTTCACAGGTGTCGCCCCTTTTAATTTTGATTTTGTTTTGTTTTGTTTTGGGTCCACAATCCATTGTGCGTAAGGGCTCGTTCCTGGCTCTTGGCTCAGGGATCACTCCTGGCAGGGCTCACTTGCAAGGCAAACACCTCACTCACTGTACTATTTTTCCATCCCAGTAACTTTGATTTAAAATGTTCTGATCGGGCTAGAGAGATAATACAATGGGTGGGACATTTGCCTTTCATGCAACTGACCCAGATTCAATCCCTGGCACTCCATACAATCTCCTGAGCATCACCGGGTATGGCCTCCCCCGGAAAAAACTAAAATATTGTGATCATTATCATTCATATTTTGACTTTAAGAAGTAATTTTGCATATTTAATAAGTAAAGCTGAAATTATATCTCCAAATTTTTCTGTTTGAGTTTGCCACAAGAAAAGCATATTCTGGGCTGGAGCGATAGTACAGCAGGTAAGGTGTTTGCCTTGCAGGCGGCCGGCCCAGGTTCAATCCTCGGCATCCTATATGGGTCCCCCAAGCACCACCAGGAGTGATTCCTGAGTGCAGAGCCAGGAGTAACCCCTGAGCATTGCTGGGTGTGACCCAAAAAGAAAAAAAAAAGAAATAGCACGTTCTTATATTGTGCACTTTAAAACTTAATTATATTGTTTAATCCCTAGATTATTGAGAAGGAGTGGAAGTTAAGAATTTCACAGAAAAAAAGAATAGTAAAGTGCCATTCACAAAATAAAAAGCTGACAGTAAAGAAGGAACTTGAAAATCTTCAAAGAAGCAATCTACTTGCATTTTTAAAGGCAAAACAAACATTAGCAGTCTTCTTCCTGAACAATCCACATAGAGTTCACAAATGGGACAGGACACATTCTTTTCAGTGAAGATTTAGGGGCCAAGGGAATAGTGCAGGGGTTAAAGCATGTTCTCTGTGTCCTGCCAACCCCATTTCAATCTCTCAGTACTGATTATAGTCCCCTGAGCACTCCTGGTACCGACTGTGGTCCCCCAAGCACTGCCAAGGGTCACTTCTGAGCACAAAGACAGGACTAGACTCTGGGCACCATCGGGCATCGCCCAACCCTCCCCCAAGAAAAATAAAGAAAATTAGTAATATTACTTTCATCAAATTATCAACAATTCAGATGAATCTCCTGCAACTTCATGCTGTTTATTAAAGAACGAACTCATTGCTAGTGAAGAAGAGTCGCACAAACAAGAATCACGCATGCATGCAGTTTCTGACCCTGGGAAGAAACTGGCTACACAGTCGACACAGTTGACTTTGAAACCAGAAAGCAACAAAATGAAGCCTCAAAGTAA